ATACAAATTCGATGACGCCTTCAGCTAGCTATTCCGAGAAAACATTGTGTACTCGTCATAGTATCCATATTTTTTATCATTAAGTTGTCTAGACGTCGTATAGTCAAATAAAAATTACTTGGAATTGGTGGATGGCCTTGTATCCAAGGTAGACCAACCTCGTATCTTCCATCGGCAACATGAACTGTGTAATGAAAATATTGCATCACAACCAGTTCTCATTCTTTCTTGGACTTATTATCATCAGGATCGAATATTTCAAGAATATCAAGACTCCATAAATTTGTTACCTGGTCATTTTTACATTGGAAACCTTTCCAAGAATAGTCCATCCTAGTTGGGTTTCCATAGCCACCAAACCACTAGGTAAATTGTATTTTTTACCAGTAAAAAGTTTACCAGCAATATCGGCACCTATTAACACATCAATTGGAGCATCTTTGATATCAAATATTTCTATTCCCAAATCTGATAGCTCATCCAGGAACCTTTAGGGATAGAACTCATATTTTTACAAATTATGGGTCGATCTAAAACTTGGAAGTTACATGTATATTTCTTATCTATACAATCTAATCTTATATACAGTATGAGTGACGACTTCAGACTGACCACCAACAAGTGCATGTATTATTGTCTCTTTTCCAAGTGACTATAATTTAATTTCAGAAGGAACAAACTTATTGATATATGAACGCTGGGAACTAGTATCTAATGCATCTTACCTTTCTTGAATTGGTTCCATTTTTCAACTCCACCAAAAGGGTTTGTAAAAATATCGGGTGATACGTATTATTTGACAGGGATTCTACATTTTCTTTTATTATAGAACTACTGACGGCCGTTTCTTCATTTTTGGATTGTTTTGGACATATCAAAGTGGCGTGGCTCTGTTTACAATGTAAGCAATGCAATCTGACTCGGCATCTACGTGCTATGTGTCCGTACTTTAAACATAAATGGCAGCATCCTGTAAACGACAAAATCTTTTTCTTCTCTAGTAAATTAATTTGTTCAGCCTCAGTGCAATCTTCATTCTTATGGTTACCTTTACAAAAAACACAAATATTTTTGACAATTAATGAGGTCAGAAGTCGTGGAAAGGGAAATATGTTGTCTAATTTTAAGTTTTTAACAGACTTCAACAAGTATTAAAAATTAAAAATTAAAAAAAAACGACTTTAAAAACGTGCAGATGCCATCACCATATCTTAGCCAAATTTATATGGGACTATCCCTGACGTGCCCACTTACTAACAAAAAAAAAATTATTGAAATTGGACATAGTGTTAAAGATTTATCGCTGAACAAACATAAAAAAATATATTGCGACGAATTGAGAACCTCCTCCTTTTTGAAGTCGGTTAAAAAAGGAGGTTCTTAATTCCTCGTATTTTTTTATGTATGTTCAGCGATAATTCCTTAACACGGTATCCGATTTCAATGATTCTTTTTTGTTAGAAAGGAGATACTTTAGGGGTGGTTTCATATAAATTTGGTCAAAATCTAATAATTGGTTCTATTAGAAAATCTTTAAACTCTTCATTTTTTTGTTTAGCTATAATTCTTTTTTACCTTCTCCGATTTATATGATTCTTTTTTGTTAGTAAGGGGGTACCTCAGGGGTGGTCCCCTATAAATTTGGTCAAGATGTGGTGATGGCATCTGCACGATTTTAAAGTCCGTTCTTTAAACTTACTTTTATAACATTTATAACATTTCATGTCGAAACAAGGTGTAGCTAGGCTAATTTTTTCTTCACCATCGACCTCTTTCTTCAAAATACCCATGAATTTGGTTAATCGCAAATTTGTACATTTTTAATTGCTTGAAGATGAATTAAATTCTGAATTACCCTGGCTTCTTTGCCACACTCTTATGAGATCTTCGGGAAGACATGACTCAACCAAAGAGAATAATATCGAGGCATATTTATCGGAGGTTACGCCTAAGGTCTCCAAGGACTGAATCTGGCATTCAAGGCAATCATAAAGAGTGGCAAGATTAGTTTTAGTCTTTAAATTGTTTAAAAATAATTTTAACAATTACGAACATAAAATTCAATTAACAGTTCTTCATGTCCAAATCTTGTTTTTAAATTATTATCTTTTAAGTATTTCGACTGGAGTTAGGTATTGCGTTTGTATCTATGGTGTACTGTATGTGGGGATTTTAGTTGCGAGCTCGAGATTTCGGTGTTGTAGCTTGAAGCAGGTAGGTATTGAAATTTATCTTCGGCTTCAATACTTGAATCATCGTGAATCCTCTTGAATTGGCTCCAAAATGGAATCCATCCTTTCAAATCTTCACCATATTTTGTAAATTTTAGACGTGGGAGCTCCAATTTAGATTTCAAATAATTACAAGAGTGGTTTAAATGACTACCATAAACTCTCTGTGAATAATTTTTTGCACAAAGTTCTTCAAAGCTAAACTTTAGTTGATTAAAATGGCAATTCAAATCAGTAGATTTCTTTATTTCATTTATTAGATCCGATTCAATAGATTCGCATTTATCTAAGAAGACCTTGTTATCCAAAACATGAATACGACCTTTAATAGCGGGTAATATCGGGTTTGGGAAGTTTCAAATCACCAGCTATAACTTCATAAGCTTCAGTAAAGGCCGTTCGTTGAATATTTAAAAATCGCTGAATTTTTCCATGTCGAAAAAGGAACTGTTCTGTCACGGTCGCCACAATGTTCAAAATGAGTAAGATCTACCTGATTTAATCTTCTGTATAAAAAATGGAGAAGTTCTCAAATGACTTTATTATATGTTGTCAATCATTAATAAATAAAATATGTTTTACATAGCAACTATATACAGGGTGTCCCGAAATTAGACGGTCATATTTTAAAAGTGTAATCTACATCCTAAAATAGGAGTAAAAGTTCATATAAACATAGGTCCAAAAACGTTTCGTTTTCGAGATACAGGGTGTTACAAGTAAAGTCCTGAAGGCACATTTTTGTAAATATTTTCTAAAATTTCTATAGTCACCGGTTTTCCCAAGTTTAAAAAAAATCAAATTTCTGATTTCACAGGCCTACTAATTATTGTTTACACTTTCGAATAACTTATCATGAAATTTTCAAATGCTTTTCTCTTGAAAATGGTGCGTCCTAGCGAGATGCAACAAAAGTAGCTTTATTATAAAGAAAACATTGGTTTTCCAAATTTTATAGTCAAAAATGTTAAAAAATGTCAACAAAAAAACTTAGGGCAATTTTACCCTAAGCCCTCCCCTAATTTACCAACCTATGAAGATGATCAAAAACTGAGGTTTAGTCCATTAAATAGAGCGTAAAAAGGTAAGCATTTGTACCAAATTTCACTTAGTTATCTTTAAATTTTTAGAAAATATTTACAAAAGTGTGTCATCAGGAATTCACTTTAAACACCCTGTATCTCGGAAAAGAAACGTTTTTCGGACCTATGTTAATATGAACTTTTACTTCTATTTTAGGATGTAGATTATGCTGTTAAAATATGACCGTCTAATTTCGGGACACTACATCTAAAACAAATATACAAAAACATTAATTTTTTTCTAGTTTTATGATTGTTTTGTAATGCGTTTTTTTTTATATACAAATAGTGGCTTTGTATTGTTTGTTATCTTTCCTTTTTTTTATTTTTAATATTATTATTCCTAGGTTCAAGAGGACGAACAGTTTCTGTTACTGATTTTGCACCTTTTTACCAATAATTGTAATGCTTTTCAGATAGTAATTTGATTTTTTTTTAAATTGATGAATGAAGCTTATTTATTATTATTATATATATCGTAAGAATGGGAAATTTTTTATCTTTTTTTGTATGTCATGGCCAACTACTCGTTCCATATAAAAACTTTATGCTATAACTCGAGTTTGAAGAATGTTTTAAAAAATTGACTAAGCCACTGGATTCTTATCAAGTTAATAAAGAAGATATCAATTATTTTCTTTCTCTTTCATAAATAACCAAGACAATGCCATATAATGAAAATTTGAAAAACCAACTTTTGAAAATGCCATTAAGTTTTTTTTAAAAAAAAAGAGTTCGAGGATAGGAGGTCCATTTTTCCATACCATTTATAGTTAAGATTCTCTATCAGAACATCGAAATTTGCCACCCTGTACATGATGTTTCAAAAAACATGGGCCAACATTCGAGGTTGTAGCCGTAAGTTATTCAATGTTGTTTTTTGTCTATAAAAAAAGAACCATACAATTTTTATATGAAGTTTTGTTAATCTTCTTGAGTAAGATAATAATGTCACAAATTACTATTGACGGTATTAGATTGATCAAAAATTATTATATAGACATCAATGGCATATTTTTAATATAGCTAAAAGGCAGACTTAAATTAGTAAAAGAACATCTATGAGAAAAAAATATTCTAAGCTTATTTTTTTATATCATCAACAATGAACTTACAACTGGAATTTCTATCACAATCGTTATTATATCAATGGTTATAGTAGAAGAGTCCGCAAGCAAAAATTGGAGTTATCGCAGAATGGGTAAGGGCAATTCCATAAAAAACATTCATTCAGGTCAAAAGAACTTTTTTATGAAGGCAAGTTCCAGGATGTTGCGGAAGAAGTGAAAATCGATTTTTCGTTTCCTCTCGTAAATATTATTGACATAAAGTTACAGCATCCCGTCTGTTCTTGATGGAAACTTATTAAAACTGCTCCATTGTTGTATAATCATAAAAAAATATAATTTATAAGTCTATGTAACTAAGAAAATTATTTTAAACACGATCGATTATTCATTTTTAGGTTATATCTATACAGAAGAACAATAATCAAGGTACCTACCTCCTAATTAAAGTATAATCAAGAGTTTTAATAGCAATTTAATCAATGAATTTACGGATCGTCCTTTTAATAAATCCTTATATTTTCAAAAATTGACCTATAACTGAAGAGATGTGGTGGTTATAGGCCAGTCAATGAAGACATTTTTTTTTTCAAATGTATATCATTCAATCATTATTTTAGGAAAAACAGGACATTTTGCCAGCGGTGTTCAATTTTTGGTGGCTGGAATAGAAACTACAAGTACGGGACTTTCATGGTTTATGTTCGAAATGTGTCAAAGACAGGATATACAAGAGAAGTTAAGAGAAGAAATTATTAGGGTACTTAGAAAACACAATGGACAAATCACTTACGATGCTGTGCAAGAAATGAAATATTTGGATTTATGTTACTTAGGTATTTATTAAAAAAAATATTATCTTAAAATACATACAGCTAGTTGCAAGAAAGATCGATAAATATTTATAGACTCATTAAAAATACAATCCGATTCTCAATAGCTATTGAATGCCGTAAATCTGACAACAGGGCGCTTTTGCCGCAACATGACCGGTTTAGGATTTGATGTGTGCCGTATTAATAGAAATTCAATTTCTATTGATATGACATGCAGATTATAAAATCGCCATACATTATCGTCTCGATGATGGTGGGTGAGGTTTTCCGGGTTTTCCTCACCTGTAAGTCAAATGGCACCATCAATCATCCTTAAGTCGCCCCGGAGCGCCACGGCAAATAATAATAATAGCCGTCCCTTCCCCTACACAAGTCGTTCAGTCGACTTCAGGGGTTGAAATTCACTCGTAAGGGTATTATTATTATTATTATATATAATGTTATAGAGATTGCTCACCCATATTTAAATAGGACTAACAAAAGCACCTTTCTAAGTGTTCACTGAATAGAATCATTCCGGCCCAAAGGGTTGAAAATTGTTATAGATGAATTTATTAAAGATTTAGTTAAAATTAAGTTGGAATTTAGTATTTTGTATACACAGTAAATAAACTAAAGAAAAATTAAAAAAAAATTGTATGTACAAATTAAAAGACAGAGACGCAGAGACAGAGCAGAAAAGAATCAGCAGTAGAAAATGTTTTCTTTAGTTTTTGTGTATTTAAGATATTTTTCAATTTTTTTTAAAAAATTCGACCCCTCCAGATTAAGAAATGTTTTTGACTAAAAATTACAAAATTTAACGAAATTTCCACATCAATACATTAAAAATACATACAAAAAATTAAAAAACCGTATATTTTTTCAGAACGAATTTTTTTCCTGATTATTTTAAACATTACAATCCGGGTTTAAGGGGACACTTTTTTGTTATTAATTTAGATTATAGAGCAGGGTAATTTTAAATTTATTACTATTTTATATTCTGTCATATTGTTACGCAGCACTCTGCAGCGTGTTACGGTCGTCATAAGTTAAGGGCTTGAGTAAAAGAAGAAGAAGGAATATTCGAGAAATGTCATTCCACGTCAAGAAAAATCTTGACACTTCGAGAAGGTTAAAACAAGCTATATACGCTTAGAAATATATATGTTCTAAGTATATAAGTCGGTGATCCTGATGTCAGTTAGTCAGTTTTATTATAGACGTTATACGTTAATGTGTTTCGAAAAATGGTGTGACTCATTCGAAAAAATTGGAAAGGAATTATATATTTCCAATTTACAAAAAGCCTAAAAAGTCTCCTTGGTCCAAAGAATACACCGACACTTCTGGAAAAGAAATATGCATTATATCTCGAATGAGAGCAAACCACTGCTTAACAAGGTCCTACCTAAATAGACGGAATACGATTCTCAGTGACTTATGCGATTGTGGACAAAGTCAGGACTTACAGCATATTTTTTTCTCATGTTCAACGAATCAATACAACATACAAGTTCTACACAAATCCTTAAAGATTCCAAAAAATATATACGGTCCCTTCTCAGTGTTCAGACTTTTAAACAGAGAAAACATTAAAATTATTTCCGGATTTCTAACAGCATGCAACATCAAACTGTAGTGAATTTATCAACTGTGAGTTAATAAAAACAGTGTGTAATTCAAAAGTAAAGCCATAAGAGCCCTACCATAACGTAGGGTAACATTCCAATCCTATCTCGTTGTAAATAATCGTCGAACCACCACCAATCAACCTAAAACCTTAGGCCGAATAGCCCTGGCAGCTGAGGCATACAAAAATTAAAAAGAAGAAGAATGTTATTAGTTGTATTATTATTGCAAAAGTTCAGTTAAAATAAATTGAGATATCAAAAAAATACATATTGGTGACAGTGATATTTAAAATAAAAGTTACCTAAGCGTTTTATTCATGGTAAATACTAGATCCACTGCGCACGAAACAGATATGGATACTTCAGGACCACCAGCATGGTTTTTGAAGATGGAAGAGGAAAAGGAATGGCGTAGAAAGGAAGAAGAGGAGGAAAAAGAAAGACGTAGGAAGGAAGAAGAAGGAAAGGCATAGGAGGGAAGCTACAAATCCAGGAAACCTTCAAGCAAGAGGTTGGTCAGCTTAACAATAGAGTAGATCTTCTGGCAAAACAACAAAAGATTTTAAAAACTA